GGCTTCCCCCACCAGTGGGGTGCAGAGCCCTGGCAAAGCCTGTGGCCACCCAGCAGCCTGGCTCCGAGCATCCCGTGAGTAGCCTCGTACCCTTGACCGCCTCGGCGGCTAGCAGTACAGCATTAAATAATTTTTTAAAAATTAAGTAGAAGCCTGTGAGCTCCCCCGTGCAGTGTTTGAACTCCAACACCAGGTTGAATTATCTCAGCGTGTTCTTCATCACAACGTTTTCAGAGGACACGGCCCACGCGTGTGCTACAGCAAAGACCTCCGTCTTTGCTCTTCCCCAGCGTGGATTTCCTCACCCATGGTGGCGGGGCGATAAGCATGTCAGCAGCATCGTAATCCAAATATTAAAAAAAGAATAATAAAAAGATGATGTTGGTGTCAGGGGGCTGGTTCTAACCCTGGGGTGGTGTCGGTTTTGTTGTCCCATAGATCTTTGGCTTTACCATTTACAATGAAAGCCGTACCTGAGAGACAGACCAAAAAAAATGAGCCTGATGGACATCACGAAAATGTTCTCCATGCTCCAGCCCAGAGAAGATGAAGAAGACAACGGAGAAAGCGAGGAGCTGAACCGAGCGGTATCCGAGGATGATTACCAAACCCTCGACACCCTCTTGTCCCAAGAGAGGTACAAGAAGTTCATCAACCGCAGGAGCGGCTGGGGGGTACCCAGCACCCCGCTGCCCCTGCCCGCAGCACGGGGCAATGTCGGGAGCATGAAGGTCCTCCTGGCCCACGGGGCCTAGGTGGACAGCCTGGATGTGAAAGCTCAAACCCCGCTCTTCACCGCCGTCACCAACGGCCACCGAGAATGTGTGGAGATCCTCCTGGATGCGGGGGCCAGCCCCGTCGGCAGCGTCTACAACAACTGCTCACCGCTGCTCGTCGCCGCGAGGGATGGGAACGTGGACATCCTGCGGCAGCTCCTGGACCACGGTGCGGAAACCAACGTTCAAGCCAGGCTGCCTGAGTGGGCTGCCAACTCGGTGGCTTGTTCTGGTCCCCTCTACCTCGCCGCTGCGTACGGGCATCTGGAGTGCTTTAAGATGCTGTTGCTTTACGGCGCTGACCCCGACTACAACTGCACCGAGGAGAGGGTGATTGCCCAGATCAGGGAGCCCAAGACTCTGCTGGAAACCTGCCTGAGGCACGGCTGCAGGAGGGAGCTCATCAAGCTGCTCGTGGACTTCGGAGCCAACGTGTACTTGCCCAACGTCACGGCGGACAGGACGGCAGCCTGCAGCAAGGGCCTGAAGCTGCTGCTGCAGGCGAGAGGTGAGCTGCGTGCGCGGCCCCGGGGCTGGAAATGAGCGCTAATTTTGCTCGTTTGGGAGCAAGTTGCTTCAGCTTCCCCTTCCCTTCGCCTCTGCTTCCCCTGCTCGTGGACTTCGGAGCCAACGTGTACTTGCCCAACGTCACGGCGGACAGGACGGCAGCAAGCAGCAAGGGCCTGAAGCTGCTGCTGCAGGCGAGAGGTGAGCTGCGTGCGCGGCCCCGGGGCTGGAAATGAGCGCTAATTTTGCTCGTTTGGGAGCAAGTTGCTTCAGCTTCCCCTTCCCTTCGCCTCTGCTTCCCAACAGCCTTACCCAGCCTTGCCTACAAGCTTCAGCTCCCTTTGCAGCATCACTGATCATAGAATCATTAAGGTTGGAGAAGACCTCTAAGATCACAAAGTCCAACTGCCAACCCAACACCCCCGTGCCTGCTAAACCATGACCCCAAGTGCCACATCCACACGTGTTTCGAACCCCTCCAGGGATGGGGACTCCACCACCACCCTGGGCAGCCTGGTCCAATGCCCGACCGCTCTTTTAGTACAGAAATCTTTCCTAATGTCAATCTGAACCCCCCGATGCAACTCGAGGCCAGTTGAGAGCGCGGGTCTCTCTAGTCTTAAACTCTGGAGTATCATCACTGCTTACTCTGAACTCTTCTTCCTCCCTCTCCCCCCGTGACTGCTGTGTTCAGGCCAAAAACCCCAAGTCTCCCACGCTGAACACAGCACAAAGACGTCAGAAGGTGAGGGAGGGTAGGTCCACCACCGGTGATTGAAGCTGAGGGCTCGGATACACGTGCTACAGCAGGAAACTCCTCAAAGAAAGTGCTGAGATTTGGGGGGGGAGGGTCAGGGGAGGGGTTGTTTCCACCAGATCCCACTGCTGGCTGCGGCCGGAGGCAGGCTGCCTTGGGCTGGGCCTGGGGTGAGACTCGGTGCAGCCACCACGCGCGTTTACGTGGTCGTCTTCCCCCTTGGATGCACTGCAGCGGCTGCTTCTCACGAACATTTCTAGACGCTCGCTGAAGAAGCTGCTTGCAGTGAGGGTCCTCGCTGCGGTGGGTGCTGGGCTGGAGCACACAGGGGCATTTCCGCAGCGTGGTTTTTCCCCTTAAATCGCACATCTGTGGGGTTAAAGGCTGCTTTTCACCATTCCTTTCCTTTCTGCTGCTCAACTTTGGCTCTCCTGTACCGCCTGCGTCCAGGAGAACTGCACTTCTTTCCGTGTGACGGCGGAAGGTCTCGTCTCAGTGTGCCCAGCTCCCGTGCAACGCTCGCTGCGGCCGAATACACAGCGTAACCCGCCCTAGCACAGCCGCTGTGTTTCGGTCTGTCGCTGTCCCTTCGCCTGGGTTGGGGGGAGCGTGGCTGTGCGTCGTGAAGGGGGGCGTCTCCTTTCTCCTCACTCTCCCC